AAATACCTCCTTACCAGAAACCAGTGGTTACCAGATGAGCAGAGATTAACACCAAGATTAACACTAGACCCACAATCAAGAAGTAAACAATACTCCAAACAAGGAACCACCAACTCTGACACACAAGCCAACAGCAACCAGCAACCTAACCCAGGAACCACCAACACTGACAGACGAGCCACTGGTATATAAAACGAGAGCAAACCTCACTCCCTTCTAGCACTGATGCTGCTACCTAGTTGGGTGATGAAACATCTGCAAGGAAACAACCAAGTTCAGGGAGCACCAAGGTCCCCTCATTCCTACTTCCAGTAGCTTTTCAATAGACGGGAATGAGGTGGGATGAGATGCCACAAACCAACAATCTCTACGAGGTGTAGCACCTCCCCTAACAAATGGGCGGAGCTTCCCTCGTGCCATCCCAGCGGCCATCTTGACTCAGTCTTAACCCTGCTCTGCAGACTCGAAGCCTCGCTCTAGGTTCTCTCTTCAGCCCGAGGATTTCGGTGGTCTCCTGACTAAGGATGACCCTGAACCCAGACAAGATCAACTGGGTGTTATGACAAGGGGAGAGGATGGAAAGACTGCACCAGATCTATAGTTGGAACTGACCGTGTGTGTCACCCAGTTTCTCCCGCTAGAGAGTCAGGAAGGCAGGAGGGCTTCCATGTCTCCATCAAGGTCTTCTTCTTTGCTCTCTAGAGCGGCGTTTGTCACCTTTAAGGGGGGTGGACTTCAGCTGAAATCCACCCACCTTGAAGATCCTGGGGTTGACAATCCCTGCTCCACAGGTATCTTGGGGCCTTGAGGTCAGTCTAAGCCACCAACGGGCAGAGTTATTTCTGAAGCAAGAAGGTCCTTCTCTTGCCTTCTTTAAGCCAGCAGATCGAAGAGTCAAGGCGGCTCCATCGGCCAGCATAACGTACTTTAAATTATGCAAAGAGTTATGTGGATCCACATTTTGCTTTTATTTGGTGTCATTCCAAGACTTCATTGGTGTATTTTTAACGGCAGCGCAACACTCAAAGCGGAATGGGGGAGTCGAAGCGGGCGGGATGTTCTCTTTTCGAACCCTGGGCCAGTCTCTCTCTTCTGCCTGGCCGTGCTCCAGCCTCGTTCTCCTTTCCTGGGGCCGCTGTGTAATTGTGGGTGATCTGCTTGAAACCCTGCCATGTCGGAGGCTCTTCACCCTCCGCTCGCCCTGCTGGGCTTTGCTTCTGAGGTGACTTCCCTAAAGCTCAGGGAGTTTAAAACGGCCCTGTGGTTTACGTTCGCTCTCCCGGGGCTCCTACCGAGTCCTCCCAGCCCCTTCAGTTGGTGGTGTGAGAGTGTCTTCGTGTGCGCAGCCGTCCTTTCTCCAGGCGGGAAAATTAAACCAGATGAGATTAATTTCCAATTTCATTTCTCTCCACGAGCATGGAGAAAGGAAGAGGACAGGATTCAATTCTCAGAGTGAGGGAATAAGAGAGAAGCAGAGAGAGAGAGAAAGAGAAAGAGAAAGAGAGAGAGAGAGAGAGAGAGAGAGAGAAAAGAAACAGAGTGAAAGAGAGAGAGAGAGACAGAGAAAAACAAAAGGTGTAAGAGAAACAAAAGAGAGAGAGAGAAACAAGAGAAACAGAAAGTGTGAAACAAGGAGAAAAAGAGAGAAAGTGTGAGAGAAACAGAAAAAAAAACAGAAAGAAAAAGAGAGAAAGAGAGAGAGAGAGAGACTCTCAAGAACTGAATCCTTCCCTAAGAATTCTCTGTCAAATGTGATTATCATTCGGGGTCAAGAGATCTCACGTGTTGCTATCAAATAATCTTTTGGAGATCACTCTGATCTCTCTCTCTCTCTCTCTCTCTCTCTCTCTCACACACACACACACACACACACACACACATACACACACACACACACACACACACACCCCTACACAGAGCAGCCTTCTATGCAAGGTTTCCCCCTACACAACTCCCTCTGCAACACATGCAACAGAGAAACCAACCGCAGCTGAAATGTTTGGACCTCTGTCCAAGTGAAATCGGGGGTTTCCCCCCCACCCCCCGTCCCTTCCCCATTCGTGGTTGGAAACGGTCGTTCCTGAGAGCCGTGACTGGATCATAAGGATCGGAAAGGAGACCCTGGGCAGAGGATCCCTTTAAGGCTCCAGGGAATCGGGGGGACCTGCACACTTTCCGCCCAGTCGAGACAACTCAGTGGCCTCTCGTGATCCTGCAGCACCACCCAGTGGGAGCTTCTGATCCTTCTAGCGGCTCCCACCGGAAGAGGGTTACCACCGCCCAAGCAACACGGCTGTGGAAACCGAACAAGGGTTCAAGGAGGGTATCGTCTGGGGATCACAGAAGAGGTGGTTAGGATGCGGCGCTTAAGATGCTGGGTTGGGAGGAGGGGGGCAGACCAAGATCCTGGGTGATGCTGGGCCCAGTGGGTTCTCCCCATCCCAGATCAGCGTCGCCTTCGGTGACATCCTGGCTGGAACTTAGATTCCCCGCTTGCATCCTGCAACTCGTCCCAAACAGGCCCTGGTCTCCTCAAGCAGCAGTTTGACAAGGCAGACGCGGGAAGTCTCTGTTCCTGACGCTCCTCTTGAAGAAAGAAAAAAGGGGCATTTCCCCCCAAGGGGCCAACTGGAGAAGAGCTTCTCAACCTTGAAAGGTGGCAGAGCAAGGAAGGGAGGCTACGGAGGCAGCCCCCAACCGCCCGAGGGATGGCCGCGACATCAACACGGGGGGAAAGCGGGGAGAGAGAGCAAAGGCAGTGGAGGCTGGGGTCTCGCTCGCCCCGTCGTGTCCAGAGTTTTGCAGCGTTCATTCAGCGCCAGAAAAGTAAACACAGACGGCTGGTGCTTCCTTTAACTTCTTTATAAACGTAAGTAGATTTTACAGACCAGTTGTAGACTTCTCCAACATGGAGCAAACTCAAGACAGAAACATGTTGCAAGTAACTTCAGGGGCAACTCAGGGGCTTAGAAAGAAGCTTCCGAGGAGCCTCCGTTTCACTTTAGCTCAGCAGGCAAGCAAGTTTCATTGTTCAATACAGACTCAGAATTCAACAGAGCTGCAGAGCTTAATATAGAGCCAACCCTAGGCGACTTCTAGTTTCAGTTTCCAAACAGTCCTCATTGGCTGACTTAGTTGCTATGCCCATTTCTTGGCTGGCCTTGTTACCGGGCTCTATTCCAGTTCATGAATAGGCCCTGACACCTTGGCCAAAGGCCCAGGTCAGAGGTGGACAACGCTTGGAAGTCTGCAGGTCAGAGCTGTCACCACAGGTGCCCCCGCCCCCCCCAATGGCCCAGATCAGAGGTCTCCAAACTTGGCAACTTGAATAAGACTCATGGACTTCAACTCCCAGAATTCCCCAGCCAGCATTTAAGCAGTTGCCAAGTTTGAGGGGGGGGGGCCTGGCCTGGATGAAGCCAGGTCCTCCTGGGTCTTCCATCCAAGTGACAGACAGCAGAAGGGGGCCACCCAGAGGCCAGAAAGACCTGCCACGGAGAAGGCGCACTTCCAGGGTCCATATTGTTGAATTGCAAGAAGATGGCCAAGCACAAGGTGTATGCGTGTTTGCGAATGCTCCAGCGGGGGTTCCATTTTTTTTACTAGCGGTTCTGTGGGCGTGGCTTGGCGGACGTGGCAGGGGGAGGAGACTGCAAAATCTCCAGTCAGAGGCGGGATTGGCCGGTTCTCCAAACTCCTCAAAGTTTCTGCTACCGGTTCTCCAGAACTGGTCAGAACCTGCTGAATTGGCCCCCTCTGAAATGCTCCCCGCACCTTGCAAATGTCTTGCTTAAAGGTATTACACCATAACCTCCCACCATTTGTTTATTGTCCATCTCGCCTGGATGGGGCTAGGGGCAACCTGCTCCCCACCCAACTAAACAAGCAACGTAACATACCTGTTGCAAACGATTGAAAAAGAACAATAGTAATTAAAAAGAGGGGGAGAATTACTTGCTCCACTAAGCAGTCTCATTCCACGTCACCAGGTGAATCGCGCGAAGTACGAAGCTTTCCCTCCCCCTCTCTTCAGCGCTGACTTTCCCGTGCGGACCTTCGCCCTGGAGTTGAGTAGCAGAGCGGCCCCTTCCTCAGTTCAGGGCCTCGGAGGGACCCCCGTGCCCCTCGTCTGAGGCAGGTCCCCCTGGGAGGGAGGGGAAGTCAGCCGAGCCAGCCGAAACAGGAGCCACCAAGGGACCCACGCGCTCCCGTGGCTGTTCGCTGGAGGTGGTGCCACGTGTGCCTATTCACCGGTGGCTCACCCAGAAAACATGGAAGGGCACTAATTCCGGCGCCATTTCAAAGGAGGCCTTGAAGTGCTCCGTTTGCATTGCCTGGGCATTCGCTGGGGAGGGGCCTGTGGCAAGGGAAGCACAGGGCACCCGCAGCAAGTGCCACCCTGACCTCGGGGCCCAGGGCACCTCCTCCCACGGGGAGGCCCCTCGCATGAAGCCCAGCGCAACTAAAAAAAAAAAAACCTCATCAATTATCTTAGAAAACAAAGAAAATGTACAATCCTGGGGCTGGGAGGGACCTTGGAGGTCTTCTAGTCCAGCCCCCTGGTCAAGGCAGCAGACCTCCTATCATCCTGGATAAAGGGACGCCCGATTTCAGGGATGTGATTAAAAAGAAGACCAACTGCTTGGCCTAAAACTCTGTTTTTTTTATTTTTTCCAAAAAGGGAAAAAGCAGCGAGAAAGAAATGGACTATTTGGGGTTTTCTAGATCACCCAAAGGACCAACAAGAGCCATCCAATCATGGATTTAATGGCTGGAGACAGTGAATATAGAGAAACAAGCTTTTAAAAGGCATCTGCTGAGTGAAATCGCCCGTTTTGGTCTAATACCCTGCACTTGCTAATCATAATTCTATCACACGTGTACCAGTTAAGCTTCAATGAACTGTTCAGTTTGTAAAAAGCAGTTTAAAGCAGGTGAACAAACAACGTAAAGTCAAAGGCAAACAAACACAAAAGTTTCGATCATTTTTTATTCCGCTGTACACCGAGAAGTATTGTCTTTCAGTTCACATGATCAATATTGACATGTTGATTATGTAAGATTTTATTCATAAATAATCCACGGTAAAAGAGAGGAATAGGATATGGTTTTTCTTTAATAATGGTATTTTATATAATAATTTAACCTTAGAAAGATAAAAAGGATTTTATACATATTAAACACAAAGCACCACTAGCGTTACACACGGAAATGTATTTCAACTCAGATCTTATGTAACTGGGGATGGTTCAAAGCTCTTTTCAAAAGAGAATCAAATTCCCTTTTAGAAAAAAAAGCCAGATGGTTTGCCTCGTGCTAATTGTTAAAATCTATGAAATAGCGTGAAATTTCTCTGCTAATAGATTATCTACAAGCTTAGGTTGCCAGTTAAGGTATTCTTAAAAACGGCTGATTTGCCAATGTGGATCCATTTCAAATCTTGATAAGGAAATAACGTCCCTCCCAGTGTCAAGTGGAGTGTACAAGGGCCCACCTCATTCCATCCTTACCCCTCCGGGGCTGAAAGGGGGCAGCCGAAATGATCCCCCCCCCCACCAGCCTCAGTTTCCTTCTAGGGCGAGGAGAGGGGTCTTTCTTGAAAAGGCCAAAAAATCTAGTCTTTCTCTCTGTCTCTCTCTCTATTTTGGCAAGGGAGTATTCAGATCTGGCTTTCTGATCCTATCACATTTTTTTCTAAAAAGAAAATATTGGTTGAAAAAAGCGGTTGCCCCTTTAAAAGGACCATGTTTGCCCCGTGAGTTCCTAACCTTTTTTAAAAAAAGAATCACAAAATTCACTCAGTAGTTGTTGTTTTTTTCCTAGGACGTCCTTGAATATTTAGGGAATCACACACTGCACTGGAGGAGCCTCTGCTCTGGTCATTTTAACTGTAAATGAAGGGATCCCCGAAGCCTGTAGATTTACTTTCTTTCCCCGGGGGAAGGAGGGGGGCCCTAATTCCAGCCCCAGGCTCGGTAAGAGAGAAAGTGAACCCATCTGGCTGGCAGGCAAAAGGGGGCAGCGCTACGGGTGGAAGGCAACAGCTTGGATGCAGACATCTGTGAAGAGGGAGGGAAGGTGCACCATTAGTCTGCGGCCCCCAAATCTCTGGACTTGCGGACTCTGGAGTGACCCAAAGAGCTTTGAACGGCTGGACATTCAACCAGTTATGTGAAAAAACTGAAGGAAGTTGTACCTCTCAATACCACCTCAACAGCAGCCTACATCAAAATATGAACAGCAGAATATTCTTTACCAAGGAAAGGGCCTTGGTTATATTTTAACGTAGACTGAATAGTATATTCTTTATTTTACATCCGAACGGGGGCAAAATCTTCATCCTTTGAATACAAAAGATGAGGCACATTCAACTGTCCTGCAAGTACCACCTTATAGTGCCAACCAATCGGGCTCTCACCCATTATTACCTTTGATAACTCACCGTTGCCAGTCAACCCGCGTATGAACTTAGCCCTTGTCTTCCCTTCTGCCTCTTACAGAGACAGAGACAGCCTAACTCTGCAGCCCCGGGGCCACATACCACTCTGCGTCCTGGACAGAAATACAAACAATTATTTCCAGAAATAAAGGGGGGGGTAAGGCTTGTAGATGCCGTTTGCCATATGAAATGTCAAACGTTTAATATTCTGCATCTGGGATTTATTACCACTTGCCGTGTCTCAGATGTTATTTCTGAAAATTAATGTTTATTGAAAACACAATTTTTCTTTCCTATTTTAGGTCTTCAGCACTCTAATCCCGTACAACCATTCTGCATTTAAATCCAACTGATATTTATTCGTATCCACCAGAAAGAGTCCATACACGTGTACAAAGCGCAAAAGATGCCTAATGCCAATTTATCTACCCCTAAATACAGAAAGCTTATGATTATCTGCATTGTCCTTTATGCATCCTACAGCAAAGGCAGAAAGCTGCGTTATACCGAGACCGGCGGTTGATTCCTGCCAGCTATCAACAGGAGTTGATGTTGAGACTGGGGTGTTTTTTCCCCCAGTTTTAAATGGAATTCTGGCAATTTCTATATGCAAAACAAGAAGCCCGCCACTGGCTCCCGTAAATATATATATATATGTATGTATATAGGCCCTCAGCTGTCAAAGTTCTTTGCTCAGACCTGCTGCTCAAGCTACAGAAGCTAAAATGAAACAGAAGCCAAGCGAAGGAAACTGCCTGATCTAGGACCAGCGTGAGCCCCCCTTGCTAGTCTAAAGGCACTGAAAGTCCCCCGAGAGACCCCCCTAAACAGAATCCAAACCTTCTCTGGAGTTGATGCCTGTCAGCAACTCCGGATCTCCTCTCGGAGAGGCAGCCGCTCCCTTCTCTTTCCCAAAAGGTGAACGGGGGTGTGTGTGTGTGTGTGACTGATGCCCTCGTGGGCAAAGGGCAGGTGAGGCAGTTCCCCTCTCCCATCACTTCGTGTGCCGTTGCCCCTGCAGACACACCGCCGCCTACACACCCCTGCCCGAGTGAGACAATCCCTTGCTAGGTTACCAGCCACGGTTTGGGCGAAGGGAAGCCGTAGCAACAAGGAGCTAGGAAGGCAACGGGGAACGGAAAGGGGTCGCTGGGGCTTCCTTCAGCGGGGAGGTCAACTGACGCACAACGCTAGCACCAGGCCACAGAACTATCTTAGTATCCACAGGATGGACTTAATCACTGAAATGCCTCCGGACACTGTGAATGCACACAATTGTTTCCAATAGCAAGACACGATTTAGCTTGGGGGCGGCTTTCCACCTCCTCTGCGACAACGCGTAAACAGCAACTACACAGGTTTGACAGATGTACTTTGTAGCCTCACGTAGCTGCCGCAACCTGGCATATACTGTGAAGTGCAGTTGTAAGAATGTCCAACCATTCCTCCTGCCCTCCTCCAGTCGGGATTTTCTCTTGAATCCAGAACAGGCACTTGGACAGATTGGGCTCCCTTTTGCTAATCTGTCACAGGAATAAATATGCAGTAAAAAGGAGGGTCCATCCTGTGCGCCATGAAAAAGGGGAGTTCTTCTCCACGGATGCTTAAATTGCTAGGGGAGTTTTTCCCCTTTGAGCCCAACTCAGCTGCAGACACTCTCTTCACAAGGAAACATATTTCAAGTCTGCCCCAAAAGAACTTCCCAGGTCACCAGATGCCACCTCAGCCGCGTCCCCATAAAACCAAAGCGTATCACAACTGGAAGAGGAGAAGAAATGGGCTCAGTCTGTGTGTCCTGCCTATCAACAGCACTAAGGCGGCAGCAAAACTAGGAAACGGGGGCAAATCCCTCTGAGCGGCCAGGGCCATTTCAACCCCTCCCAACTGGGGTCTGAGACCCATTTGCTCTTCATTCCGGAACCAAACCTGGGAGGCCCCCGAGGGGATGATCCGTATTACACCTCAATTAAAGGACGGCAAGGCAGATTCTGAGCCCTGGCAAAACCCAAGTGCCGTTAATTGGAAACAGAAAAGTTCGGGCTCACGAGACCAATTTCAACCCCCACCTATTTCTGGGAACAGACGCGGAATCCCCCCCCCCCCAAATGCTTTAAAGGGCTGCTTAAGAAAAAACCGCCTGGACAACTAGCACAACCACACAGCAGAACGGACGAGATCAAAAGCAAACTAAGGGAGATACTTGTTAGCAGCCTTTAATTGTCATGATTATATAGGCCATTTTTTTTATGTTTCCAGTATGTTGAATTATTTATTATTTATTGTTATTTCACATCCAAGGTGAAAAAAATCTCCTGATTAAGGTACACCTATTATATAAACAGTGATTTGATAGACTTTTTTTTTTACAAGTTCAAAGTCGCCTTGTAGCTAATGGAGGTCTGATCTGCAAACTCTGGGAGTCCAGATTATGTATAAGTGAAATTGGATAAATGGATAAAATGGAGAGAAACATGAATGGGATTAGAGGGGTGAGAGAATTTAAACCCCTTTTTTAAAAGGGTGCGTATGGATAGCTAAATAGTGCGATATCTTTTTCTCTTTTTAAACACTGAGATTAATTAACATTAATCAAGCCCAAATAAAAATGTTCAAGAAGATTTCCGTTTTGTTTTTTAAATTACGGCTGCAGTGCAATTCTACATGTGTTAACATAAAATAATTCCAAAACTTTCAGAAACCAAGTTTCGCCTGGATTTAGTCATTTTTGAGTGGTTTCGGTTGTTGGAGACTTTGCGGTAGAGATTTTCACTTTCCCAAGGAGAAAAACATCATTATCTCTGTGACAAGCAAAGGTAGCAGAGTTTTGAAAGGAGCAGTGATTCCCTCGGGCATTGCAAAGGATTTTCTGATTTCTATCACAACCGAGAGACAAAGGGACTGAATCAACCCGCCAGACCCAAGAGCCAACGTCACTGTAGAGGACGGGGCGTTTTCTTAGGAGACCGGAACAGTTTCTATTTCATGGAATGATCGTTTGTCTCTCCAGGGTCCCAAAATTACTTTTATCTTTGATTAGTTGGAAAACTACCAGGGCGCTTCATCTCACCGCTGCTAAGTGCTGACTCAGGTACAGAGGAGGAGGAGGAGGAGGAGGAGGAGGAGGAGGAGGAGGAGGAGGAGGAGGCCGCCTTCCTCCAGTCAGCCGCTGAGCTGGAGGGCTAGTTCTTCACCTCGGCAGCCTCCTTCTCCAGGCTTTCTTTGGTCTTCTCAATCTCTTCCACTTTTTCCTCCTTGTGCAGCAGCGATACGATCTCGGCTACTTGCTTGGTAGAGATATCGATATCCTCCTTGTCAATCAATTCGATCACCTAGGCAAACATTTTTAGAGGTATGGGTTACGTGTGCCACTTGGGTTTCCTTCCTAAATAGTTTTGAAAAGCTCGAACAGGAAAGAAAAGAAACCCGAGTGCCTTAAAAAACAAAGTTTGTCCCTAAATCCTGCCTGACTCAAGCACCAAGCAGCATAAAAGGCCACCGCTGAAGAACATCAGGAGGCCTTTTCCAAAGAAACAGGTGCTTCTTCCCGTGAATGAATGCCGTTATTTGGGAAATGCTATTTCTCTGACAAACACGCTGGAGGACCGACTTTCCTCCTCCCAGGTAGCCTTCGCCCTTAATCCTCAACGTCTCTAGGAGCTGAAATATTCCACCCCGGCTGCCACGCTACACTATGCAGACACAAGAGTGCGAAGACAACTCAGGGCACCTCCAAGCAGGAGGCTGCAAGCGGTCCCAGGTGGGCTGGCGGGAGCGACTGCCGGGGGGACACACGAAGCCAGCCCCCCGCCCTGCCCGGCCCTGCCCTGCCCGGCCATGCTGCTGCTGCTGCTGCTCAGCGGGCTCACCTTGACCACGTCATCCAGGTTGATCTTGCCGTCCTTGTTCTCGTCCAGCGCCTCGGCCAGCTTGTTCAGCTTCCCTTCGGGGATTTCCTGGAGCTGCTTCATCACGTTGATGAGATCCTGGAGGCTGATGAGGTTCTCCCTAAGTGGGAAACGCAGCCTGTAGTGAAGCAAGCGGTTACTACCAGGGCTCGGTGGGCGCGGGCGGAGTCTCTGCGTAGCCTACTTCGTTCGGGTGGAAATCCCAAGTTGTTTGCCGCCTGGATTTTTCCCTTTTTTTTTCCCATTCCTTGTAAGGAGGAAGCCAGGAACCACAGAGCTTCTCTGACACCCGGGACTCCTTCGTGGGCAGCCTCCTTTCGGTTCCTCAAAGGCTGGCCCCTTTCAAAAGCCCCCCACCTCCCTTGAATGGATTGCGATGGCAGAGCTCCTCCCCCTGGCCACACTGCCCACCACTCACCCAATGGGACCCCCGCTCAGCTCTTCTCCGGCTGGTTTCTGGTCTGTCTCCAGCTCCAGAATAATTCGATCGATCTGCCCGATCATTCGGTTCACCCTTTTAGTCAGCCTCTTGCTGGCCTTGGATTCCTCCACTTCTTCGGGTCCGTTCTTAGACAGTTCCTTGATTTCTTGCAAATCCTAAGGGTGAAAGAGGGACGCCTTTTCTTAACACGTAAACCTTTTGATACTGAAGGGGGGAGCTGGCGATGGGAGCCCAGCCCAGGCTTACGAAAGGCGCAGGGTCCCCGGGACCCTCTGAAGACGCAGGGGCAGCTGTGTCCCTGGGGCGGATACTCAACCCAGGAGCCCCGGCCCGGGGTCTGAAGGAAGGGCAAGGCCTCAGGACTGAAGGAGCCCAAACCATGCCAGGGACTCTGGGAGTCTCCAAGCACGGAGAGAAACCCAGAAAGGAAGCTGCCTTTGTGGCCCCCGTTCCCCTCCGTCAGAGCTGGGAGATGCAGAGGGGGAGCCCCTGGCCTCACCTCGCTGTATTCCTGCACGTCGTCCTTCAGGTCCTCCAGTTCTTCCTTCTCCTTTGTCAGCAGCTTCTTTTGTTCCTTCAGTTTAGTGCAAGCATCGCTTAGCATGTCAATCTCCTCTTTTGTTATTTCTTCGCCCTACGTCAATGGGGAAGGAAAAAGAGCGCTAAGCCCCCGCGGCCCTCCTCCACGTCCTCCTCCTGCCCACCTAAAATACACCACCCAAGAGGCTCTACGGGAGACCCAGGAACCGGAGGGGTTTAAGGGCAAGTGACGTTCGTCTCTCTGGATGCCACTCCATGAATTCAGCATGGATCCTCACGGAGAGAGATCGACTACGGTTGGCATTCTATAGCTCTACCTATTCCGCAGGCCCGCTCCGCGTGACATGCAGCCACCACCTTTCGTATTCCTCAATGTGAAAGAATGCGCTCAGGTCCAAGTGGCGCAGACCTGCCCCTCTGACTGCAGCCCCCACAGGACGAAGGACAATGCCACGCTTTTCAGAGTGGAGGCAGGCAGCTGTTCTTGAGAGGTTTCGGCCTGGATTTCCACGGACGCCTCCCTGGTTATTTGGAAGAGGCCGCTGGAGCCCACGGTTTCTCTCGGCCCCCTGCCTGCCATGAACCCCGGAGGGCCCCAGGAACCCCGGCCACGCAGACGTGATCACGGCGGAGGCCCCTGCCCCTGGAGAAACGCTCGGAGGATGGGGCCCTGGGCCACAGGGGCTGAGAACGTGTCCGGAGAGCAGGCGAGGGCAACGGACAAGACCCTGGAGAGGAGCCGGGGGGGGGAAGGGGCTGCTTTCACCCAGGAGGACCTTTGTTGGTACGGCCGGGTAGGAGGGCTCTGTGACTCCCCTGGGCCCATCCAAGAGAGTTACGGGGTGGGTTAGTGCCCCAGCTGGATCGTTTTTACAAATAACTCCAGGCGGCTGTCGAACGCTCCTCCTCCTCCTCCTCCTCTTTTCCCCAACACAACCACAACCCTGTGAGGTGAATTGGGCTGAAAGGGAGGCACTGGCCCAAAGCCACCCAGCCACCCTTCATGGATAAGGCGGGACTAGAACTGCCCGTCTCCAGCCTGGCGCCGTCACCCTTAGACCAAACTGGCTCTCAGTCAAGTTTAGCCTAGCGGGCAACACGTGAAGCGGCAAGGAGACTCCTGTCAGTCGACCAAAGGCTCGGACTTGAGGAAGAAAGCTCTGCCCGAACCACGTCTTCCCTTCAGCGGAGGAATCGAAGGGCAGGCGGAGAAGGAGCCCACCCCTTCTGGGACAGCCAGGAAGCTCCCCGGAGGGACCGGGGAGGGCATGAACAGAGAGGCTGGCAGGACCAATCATCCGGACAAAGATGATGAGCAACTTCCTGGGTAAGACCAGGCGGGGCAGTCCCAGTACAAAAAAAGGAGCAAAAAATAAAATAAATAAGAGAAACTGAGGGAAAAAATAGCAATGAGTACAGCTTAGTTAGAGCAAACTGAAGACCGGAGGAGGAGGAGGAGGAGGAGGAGGAGGAGGAGGAGGAGGAGGAGGCTGCCGACTTATGAAATTCAAAGTCCATGTTTCAAGTTTTTGTGGAAACAGCAAATACTCACGTGAACGTTAACAACGTTTCTATTTACGCACAAATATTAGTTAAATCCGGGTAAAGCGAGAATGCCTGCACTTTTCATTAAATTGCAAAATAGCTGACAAACTTACTTTATGCTATGGCTAAATCCACCTACCTTCTCGTGCCTTTCCCGCATCCTTCTGCACTACAAACTTTCACAGACTGAGTTACAAACTGGCTATCTTATGGGGCATGCTACGCTATGATGCAGCACACTGTGCAAGACAGGAAAAAGTTATAACAAATTATATTACTTGCTTACATGTATTACATCCATTTTACCCCTGCCTGCAATATACACAAAAGCACAAAAAAAATCCCACAAACGGTATCACTGAAAGAACACCCAAATCAACGGGAACTTTTTAGGAAGTAAAACAGCATATAAAACAGAATAGCGCTTCCATTAAAACTAGGCTGCTGAATTTTGAAAAACACGGAGCCTCCGTATTCCAGATCTAGGTGTTGTTTAAGCTAAAATATTTTACCAAGAGATGCTGACAAAATGAAGCGGAAAAAGTGAATCCACATTAACTCTGAAATTACTTTGTTTGCAAAACCAGTCTAATAGGACAATTTTTCCCCCTTTCCCTTCAACCGATTCTCAGAGGCTGCCTGAATAAATCCCTGGCGTATTCTTGGCAGGGCTTTTCTCTGGCCTCCTCCTCCTCCTCCTCCTCCTCCTCCGGAGAGAGACTGGCCCAAGATCACCCAGCTGGCTTTGTGCCTAAGAGGGGACTAGAACTCACGGTCTCTCTGTTCCTAGCCTGATTCCCCACCAACGTGGCTCTCCTATTTGACAATGCTTTTGTTGACTTTCTAGCCAAGAAATGATTCCCAAATGATTTTCGACTGCATCCTGCAAATGAGGGATCCTTAACTTTTTCACACAGCTTCCACTGGTAAGAAATCACGTCTGAGTCTGTTTCCTGGACAAATTTCTCTCTGGGGGAAAAGGGAGGCTGGGCCCAGCCCCTCTTAGCCGGGTTCTTTGTAACTGCACCAGTCTGAAGGTGTTACCTGATCATTACTATATAGTGGCTTGCTGTGATAAAGGGGCAGTTCAAAGAAGCTGCCTGCTCTCTGTCCACTTCCGCTCAACGTCCACATCCGACCTCCCGGTGGTTGCCTAGGAAACCTGCCTGTTCAATCTGCTTAGGCCGAGAGGCTCTCCATGCCCTCCACAGTCCGTGGCTAACTCGGCCATCCGGCCAAAGTCCCACAGCCAGAAGAGCTTTGGAGGCTCTGGTAAAGAAGATCACTGAGAGAGGGATTATAGCAAAAGTCAAAATCTTCTTCTTTCCAGAGAGAGCAAAGGGCTCACGCAGGAGGCACCCAGGGGCTCAAAAGGGAGCGAGGCTCCCCTTATAAAACAAACGCCTGGGACCGTTCCCCAGAAAACTGCTGGCCGAAGAGCGCACCGAAGTTTATTCGCTCGGCCCCACAAAGCGCCACTTACAAATTCTTCTTCTTCTTCTTCGAGAGGGTGAAATGCTGCAGAACGGGGACTGTTTTGCACCCCCGGCAGTCAAAGCATGTGAAGCCAAATAGAGAGCGGCCCATCTCCCGTATAAAGGGCACAATTCGATCTTTTCTCTACCTGCTTCCTCAGAAATTCAATCTGAATTACTTAGGCCAACACTTCAGGGGCCAATTGCCGCCCCCCCCCCAACCCAAAAGGGGCTTAATACAACTAGAGGCAACAGGCGTTTTGTTAAATACACTCAACTCCTGGCCAACCTGTCGCTTCTACTCAGTTGGCCTTACTCTCACAGAACGGAGGGTGGACTTGCAAGAGACCCCTTACATCGCCGCTCTCTTTCTCTCTGGGTTTACACCTCCTGCTTTCTCAAGAGTGAAGAGGGGGCAAGGCCGCTCCCTGTAAGCAGCAAAGAGTATGGATAGAGAACGTCAGGCTGATCTAAGCAGAGTTAATACTTGCCAGGTACCCTTCGCAGAGAATAGTCCCTGCTCAAAGAGGAGACTCTGAGCTTTGGCTCGTTGGAGCCGTCCTCTGAGTGCTACTAGGGGAAAAATGTAAAACCAAAAAACCCTCCCTCCTTTTGAATGGTTCTGCTCCAGAGATCTGGGGCTGACAAGAGACAACTGGGTATGTTTTGGGTTCTGCCCATTTTACACTGATCTTCACTGAGTCCTCAGTTTTCCCAATTGCGCCTTGATAGCAATTCTTCCAGAACGTAACATGCCGAAAGACTTGAGGAGTTTGAAAGATTCATAGAGCACTATTGAGGTCTTTGTTGGTACACATAGCTACTAAACGTTATTCTCCTTGAGCAACAGTAGATAAAATGGTCTTTGTCCTATTTTTAGATGGCAGCTATCTAATGCTGGGATCAGTCTCATTTTAAGCAGCTTAACTGAAGCTGACTTCTTATGACTTTTCCTAGTATAGCGTTCCAACTTTATTTCACCGCAGTGCTGACGCTCAAATCTTAAGCAGCCTGATTTTCATCCGCCAAAGACTGCCCAGCCTAACTTTAAGTACCGGGACTGGAACCTTAAGTAACCAGCAGGTAATGAATTCAATCCTTCTCTGTGTCTCTTGTAATTGGATGGAGCAACCCTGACCTGCCTCCCGATCCCCCTTGCAGAGCCTGCGCTGAGCTTCCCAGCGTGACCCAGTCGCCTCCCGCCCACCTCAGCTTTTACCTTCGTGCCTTCCAACACGGGGGCCGTATCCGTCAAAACCTCTGACTGGAGGGCTAGGGTCACTTTTGCCGGTTCTCGGTCAGCAGTGGCATCTAGGGAGACTTTGTTCAGAGCTGAGGGATCCAGATCTACGCCCACCTCCTTCCGGAACACAGGAAAGACAACAATTAGACCCGTGTGGCTCAAGTATCACTTCACACGGGGGATGGCGAGATGGACGCCCGGCCCTTTCATGAGGGCTTCTGGCAGAAGAACGGCAAAGCCTTCCTTGGCCTCCTCCCTTGAGGTCATGGGGAGGATTTCTATCCCGCCGTTCCCCTCCAGGAGCTCAGCGTGGCATCCACGTCACGGCCTCCTCAACCCTCCGGCCTCCCTTACTCACCCTCTCCGCAGCGTGAAGCGTCTCTTTGGCTTTTTCGGCCGCTTCGGAAAGCTTTTCCAGCTCCTTCTCGTGCTGTTCTTTCCTGATGGCTTCCTCTTCTTGGAGCGTTGCTTCCAGTCTGGCTTTGTTGTCAATCTTCTCCCCTTCCACTTCCGCTGCTTTCACCTGAGCCTCTTTTGCCTTTTTTTAATTCAGGGCGGGGGGGGGGGGAGGAAAAAAAAAAAAAATGAAATGTACACCTGCGGAGACACACGGGGCTTTCCCGGAGGAGGCGAAGGCCTCTGCCTGCAGAGCAACAAGCCGGGTCCTGCAGCCCAGGGAACTGAGCCCTGGTTTCACCCAGGCAGGTAACGCCACCTTCCGCAGAGACCCGCCAGAAGCTCTGAGAAGCCGCCTAACAAGACGGGAAGAAAACAGCCCGGGAGGAAAAACCCCGCGGCTCTCCATAGGGAACAAGGAGTCCTCGACTTACGGCCACAATGAGGCCCAGCATTTAGGTGGTTAAGTGAGAAATTGGTTCTGCCCCATTTTACGACCTGTCTTGTGGCAGTTGTTAAGCCCATCACTGCAGTTGTTAACTTAGTGACCTGACGGTTAAGTGAACCCGGCTTCCCCGTTGACTCTGCTTACCAGAAGGTCCCAAAAGGGGATCATGTGACCCCGGGACACAGTGACTGTCGTAAGTACGAGTCAGTTGCCAAGCTGCTGGGTTCGGATCACGTGGCCACCTTGGGGATGCTGCCACGGCTGTCAGCGTGAACAATGGCCAGAGGTCCCTTTTCTTCACGCTGTTGTAACTTTGAACGGTCACTAAATGAACTATTGTAAGTCGAGGACTGCAGTGGGATAAGCCGCCCATCTACAGGTGGATTTGCCCTTCCGGCCGCAAATGTTCCAATAACACCAAGCACGTTACTCTGTTCCTTTTAAGACAAACTGAACTGCCTTGGAGGCAAGGACAGCAAAGCTGCCCGGGGAACACATCACGAAGAGGCTACTCAGATATTGCGGTGCTCCTCACCCGGTGGCCCATGGAGCCCCGAGGGGCCCCGCGGAGGCTGGAGGAAACACCGGGGTTTAAGCCTTGAGTTGAACCTTGGGGGCCACCAAAGGTGCTTAGAGGGCGGTGAAGGGAAAGGTTGAGAACCGCCGAGATGCCACCCAGACAAGAGCTTGGGCCAACTGCCTGGGCGAGACGGCATCTCCGTGGGAAGAGAGGCCAATTCATACCACCCCTTTCTAGCTCCCAGAGATCAGCTCTGCTCAATCCATCACAGCAAGCTGGGCCTTCTTCCCTCCACTCTGTCTTAGTGTCCACGGAAAAGGGACACGAATGGCTCTTGGGGCGACACAGATTGCCTTTAACAACCAGATTTGTTACCAAACGTGAAAGAACGTGAAAACTTATTCCAAACTGAACGAAATCATTCTAACGCAGAGGGTTGGGGGTGGATGTGAAACCTTGAACAACGTATCTCCCCAAGGTGTAAAATTCCTAAGGCTACAAACACCTTGACTGCTTCCAAGACCGCTAATTCGTAGAAAAAGGCTGGCCACGCAAAGCAAAACCTACCACATTCTCAGGGAGGATTTGCAAGGTCGTTTTCAGCTGGTCAGCCGGAGACAGAGTTTCCGGGAGGTACAGAGCTCTGGATAATATAAGCAGGGAGGTTGGGATTTCTTGATTCAGGTGCAAGTCCAGCCACTGCAATTAAACAAGATAAAATATCAGGAGTTCTTGGTTTGATGCAGAGACCATCGTACGAAAGCAATTATTCCTTTAAAAGAAGGCCTTTTAGATCTTAAGTGGCAATATTTTTTCCTACTGGGACACACAAAATGGGAGATACAATAATTTAAAGCCGAAATGGAAGCACTGTATAATTTGCCTCAGAGCAACATCTCTTCTCGAAGTAAGGTTTTTGAATAGCACAAGATCGAGGTTGGAAAAGTATCAGCAGTTACAATATACTACATAATGCAAATACTGCTGAAAACAGACCCAGGAAGCCCACGGTCGCAAAACTATGGCAATCTACCTGTTCCACAGACAACGTTCCAAATTCTGAGAAAGTATTAAGTCGCTAGGAATATCGTCGTCTTCAACATTCCACTGTGTTTTTACAGATTTCATAAGTGAGAACTGGCGAAGATTTTAGGATGCGATGCAAATTCCCAAAATTAGTAGCAGAGCTCCTTCCTTTGATAAAATCTCCTTCCAGATTTGGTCAAAGGATGAGAGTCCAGATTGGAATTGCCAGGCAAGGGAGGCGGGTACTATATTCTCTGGGTTATTGCTTAAAAACCTGGATGTCTGCAAAAGCCAGGCCTCCCCCAGCAGAGGCAGAAAGGTTGCGGGGTTCCATCCCGTGAGCCATTCTGGCTCAAAAGACATCTGCGCCCCCAGGCCCATATGCATGTTTGGGTGTCTGTCTGCAGTTCAAAATTCCATGCATGAGTTAGAATTGGACCCTGGCAGTTTTTAGCAGAGCTCTGCTGGTTCTTGAGCCGTTCTCTCTCATGAAGAGTATTCTGAGTAAGCGCTTCTGTGCCTGAATTGCTCCCGTCGGGATCCAGGAGGAGTTTGGGCCTCGTGACCAAAGCCTTCTGACACTCCTGGCGGATCCAATACCTGCTTCAGCTGATCCTTTAACCGCTCCTCCGTGACGCCGAGGGCTCTCATGCCCCTCGCTCGGCAGGCTGCTTGCAGCTCCTTTACTGTCAGGCTATCCGTGCCTTCCTCCATTATCAGCTAGACAGGACGAAAGAGGAACAGCGCACACACACGCTCATTCTCCAAATATTCAGAAACAACCGTTACAACAGGCAGCTCTCTTCCTTCAGAACAATAGCTCATGACCTTTCTCCACTTGAGCCCCGTTCCCCTCCACATGCATCGTGATTCTAAAATTAATCTTCTTTTCCACAACACAGTTTCTTTAAATAAACCGTAAACAAAAAAAGTTCCCCCCCCCCCCCACACACTTACTTTATCATCTGCTTTGATGCTTCTCAGTCGCATTATTAGCTGGAAGCGAAGAAAGTTGTTTGTTCCGATGGACTGAAGTTCTAGAAGTTTACACAGAGCAACCAGTTGGGGCCTTGTCAGGTTGTCCAGGGTCAGCTCGTCCTCAAACAGCTTAGAAAACCGTAAAATCTCTTCGTTGCTCGGCCTCTCACCCGTCTCGCGTATCTGAAATTAGAAATGGTACGCTATGAAGTCTTACCACAGCCACTTTTTCCTCAGAAAAGCAGGGATTGACCCTAAGAAATGTTAACTATGATTGTGTCAGATGTGTCTATTATTATCCACTTGCCTGGTGATAAAACACAACAACACAACTTAAATTTTCAAATACCTTTTGAAAGAAGGTTGAGAAATCCTTCGTAGCGTTCCCTTTGGCTGCTTTGTTTTTTAAGGCAATCTCCTCAATGGTATCTTGAAGAAATTTAGCCACCTCAAGCTTTACCCTCAGTTCTTTCTTCAACCTCTCTTCCTAATAAGAAAAACAAAAAGGCCCTTTAACAGAAAGCGGCTCCAGACAGGGATTAAAAAATTAATTTCCTATTACGTCCGCTTTGGACACTATTAAATCTCGGAGGGGTACAATATTTAGCAACGTTCTTATGTAAGCTCTTCTAGCCCAGGAACAGTTACTGGAAGCCAAGCTGAACTGAACGAAATGAGTTTATTCCCAACCAAGTATGCCAGCCCGCAGCTTCGCATAGGGTTATCTAAACGAAGAGCCGCTCCTCAGCCGCTCCATCGAGGTATTTCCTGAGCTCTCTCGCTAAAAATCAAGTTCTTTCACATTGAGATTTAAGGTCCTTCGCGTGCAGGCTTTCTGAAGTCAACTTCCCTGAGTCTAAGGTGAAGTAAGGACACTCCGCAATCCTTTATTCCGTCCCTTTGAACACTGGGCATAATTTTAACAGAAATGAGCACGCTGTGATTGGAGAGAGGGGTCTCCAGACAGCATGGTCCACCTAGCAGAGGCATTTTGGAACACTTAGGCCTACCTGCTCAGGTGTACGGGTATTTCAGCGGGTATTTTAACCAGGGATACTGCCGCTCCATAGACTTTCCTACAAATACTTCCCGATGTAACTGTTACCTTCTTAGATTTTGTCTCAAATGTTGAAGGAAGCATATTCGGGAACAACTTCAAAGCTACGGGAAGCAAGAATTCCATGAAGGGAACGACGATGAAGACCAGGAAAGGGACCAAGCGAAAGAGGTCGGCGCAGATCCGAAGGAACTGCCAAGAGAAGAAACAAGCTTCGGTTTATCGCAAGAGGAAAACGGAAACAGCCCACAGCCTTGCTTGCAGGCATTGGGCAAAGAGCGAGGGTCCTATTATCACACAGCTAATTGACAGTATCTTTTTTGGGAGCTTTAACTATTAAAAAAACCTATGATCAGTTTTATCGAGATTATTTCTTTTCAGACCAAGCAACAAGTCCTTCCTACTTTCAACACAGAGGAAAACGGTATTAATAAACTTGCCCTTTACTGCAAACGAAGCTGCAACCTTTACATGGAGTCATCCAAGGGGCTTTTCCCTCAGCAGAGCAGCCACAAACGGCACCAACAACTATAATCACCACTGAGTAAAAGGGGCTTTTCTGTCTTAGGAGAGAAATTGTGGGCTCTGTGCCGTGTCCGAATCGTGTGTTATTTTGCTCCATTTACCTTCATGCCACACCTGCACTTCTCATTAAAAAGCACATTTTTCTTTGCGGTTTTCAAATCTGACATAATATAAATTGGCCGGTTTTTATACTTTTGCAAGAAAAATGAGATAATGAGCGTCTATTATTACATTTAAAAGCATGATAGTATAAAATCCATACAGGCAGTCCTCGACTTACACAATGGGGACCGCGATGCCTATTGCTGAGCAAAGCGGTTATTGGTCACACCCAACCTTTCTGACCATGGTTAAGTGGATCGTGTGGTCATTAACCGAATCCAGCTTTCCCCATTGCCCTGGCTGTCGGGAAGCTACCTAGGGAGGTGCAAATGGTGCTCCCGTGAGCCTGGGACGCTGCAACCGCTGCGAATACACGCCAGGTGCCAGGCACACGAATGTTGATCGGGTGACCATGGGGATGCTCTATGGTTGTAAGTGCGAGGACCGGTTAAGTTGAGGACTACCTATGTTGCTGTAACATTTCAATCCCTGTGTTGCTGAGTTATTCAGATCTGGTCATCCTTTTCTTAACTAAATTTAACATTTCGCCCTACCTACTCCTACCTTGTACTTTATAGATAATGAATATAAATATTCTGCCGTTTCTGTGTACACACACAATGCTTTTTCTGCATGAAATTATTTCTTCGCCTCTTTAATTTCTTTCCTGCCGGTGTTTCATTCCTTCGGTACCAGAACCGAACTCCTGAGGAACACTGAAGTCAGTCCCATGGCCTGGTAACCACTGAATTTCCATCCCAGGGAGAGTGCCGTGGGCAGCGTTACCTGTCTGCGCTCCCGGCGGGTCATGGAGCTGCCGTGAAGAATCTGCCAGAGCATTCTGGCGGCAATTTTGGAATCGATCCACAACAACCGAAAGCCATGGTAGTAATGCTTCACCTCGTCCACAATCTTCTGCCCGATGGATTTTTTAACGACGGTTTCTTCCACTGCTGGACTATAAACGGGGCCCCCTTCTTCCAACTTCTTGCTTTTGTCTTTCAGGGTCTTCAGGGATTTCTCTATTACAGAGTCATCGTTTCTGGACGCGGAAGAATGCCAGTTCCTTACCGTAACCCAACAAGGCCCTGAAAGGCCTCTGCTGGGAGGGGGCCACCGAGAGTCGAACGCTCTCAGGGCCGCCCCCGGCCTTTTTTCTGACCCCTCCGTCCAGGCGTAGCTGTCTTTTGTGCAATAAATGTAAGGTGAGATGTTAGTGCAATATTTTAAGCGGGCAGGCCTGTAAGAGAGAAAAGGCAGGTTTTAATCTTAATGGCGCACGGTACACTTTTCACCCCATTTATTTCTACAGTGACCGTAAGTTAAGTGGGCCCACCAAAAGCAACGGTGTGTTTGAGAGGCTTCCCTTTCCTCACTAGGAGAGCCAGGATGGATCCTCTGGCAAAGTTCTCCACGACATTCTGGCTGCTTAACGGTGGGCTCCAAAATAAGCGGATACATAGCTGACTCCCAAATCTTTGTCAAAGAATGCCAGTCAGTGGTCCCTCATCAAACTTGGAGAGAGGGCATCACAGGTTTCAGTCCTGATAGAAGTACTATTCAGCACAGGTATTAAGGACTTGGCTGGAGAGGCGAAGGAAGCCTTCGGGCAGGAGCTGCAGAGTCAACTGTTGAGGGGGCTTCAGTTTACATTTTCACCCTGCAATCTATTGACTGGACTTGGCGGCCTCCGCCTATGATTCATTCATGCAAAGCGTGTATCTAGTTAGATGTTCCTACGCATACACACCGCTGCTACACAACTGAGTCTGTGAAAAGACAAAGCACTATGACAACAGAAAAAAAGGGAGAACCAAAAAGGGAAAATTCTGAGTTTACTGCTTCAACCAACGTTCAAGCAGCAAAGCAAAACCCTGAAGAAAAAGGGTCTGGTGAGAAAGTCCCACGGAAACTAAAAATTGCAGGTTACTACCTCAGCAAATGGCACCTTAGCTGCTTCATTTGAGTTCAAGAACAAAGGAACCAAAATATCTTCTACCTATTTTCCCCAAAACAACAACCCTCTGAGGTGGGTTGGGCAGAGAGTGAGTCACCCGGCCAGCTTTCATGCCTAAGGCGGAATTTGAACTCACAGCCTCACACTTTATAGCCTGGCACCTTAACCACTAGACCAGACTGGATCTAGCTAGGCTGCTTAACTAGAGTTACTTAAGTTCTACTTAAGACAGGACACCCACAAGGAATCCCCTCCCTATAAGGCTAGTCTGGGTGGTGAAACCTCCTCTCCACTGAGCCGGAAAAGGGAACTTCTCCCTTGTGGAATTGATGGGGATTCAGGCTAACTTGAGCGCAGGGCTGTAGGAGCAGGATCCCTCGGGAAGAAAGGAGGTGCCCCAGTCCGGGTGGTCACAACGACAGCCTCTTGTGTCCGACTGAAATGGGAGGGCTGGGGTGAAGGAAGCCCCCTGACAGAAGCAGAGACTGCTGGGATCAGAGGGAGGCTGGGGTTGGCTGGGCTTGTCTGCTCAGGGGGTTATCAAAAGGGGGAGAGAAGGGGGGGACCCCAATTTCTGAGCAGCTGCAGAGAAAGCATTTTCCATCCAGAAAAGAAGAGCGGCTGGAGTCATGCAGCGATGGAAGAAATGGCCGAGACCCCGGAGGACCCTGGGCAGCCTAGAGACCACCCCAACTGGAGCAAAGGGAGCGCGGGGGTCAAGCAGAGCCCCTTTAGCGCTGCTGCTGCTGCTCCTCAGCGGGCGAGAGAGTTGCCGTCCCCTCACTGACTCAACTCTTCCCTGGCATTCGCTCTTGTCTCTTGGAAGGACATTTATGGGATTTCCCACTAACCCATAACTGCCTCTTAGGAGGCTCAAGGAAAACAAAGCAACAATTTTAGGGCTGGGCTTGGTTTTTTGTTTTTTTTTAACAGAGCGCTGTGGGCAGGCATGGCTGTTGCTCTGCTGGTGGGAATCAGCGGGAGAGAGAGAGACAAATAGGGAGGAGGAGACCAGGAACAGGGAGTCCTTGGCTTACAGCAGTTCGTTTAGTGACCCTTCAAAGTGACAACTCTGGAAAAGGTGGACTTATGACTGTTTTTCACAGTCATGGCCTTTGCAGCATCCTCATGGTCACATGGTCAAAATTCAGCTGCTTGGCAACTGATTCCAATTGACGACGGTCACAACGCCCCAGGGTCACATGGTCCTTTTTTATGACCTTCTGACAAACAAAGTCAAGGTGGGAAGCCAGATTCACTTAACAACCATGTTACCAACTTAACTGCAGCAATTCAGTTAACAACCGTAGCACGAAAGATTGTAAAATGGGGCAAAACTCACTGAACAAATGTCTCACTAAACAACATAAATTTGGGGCTCAAATGTGGTCGCAAGTCGAGGACTACCTGTATGGCCTTTGCAGCCATGCAGCAAAATAAACGCAAAGACCTTCACTGACTCTGTGAAACAAGTCAAAGGCACAACCACCCAGAACTGTAAATGGTCTTTTTGTACTGGCTCTGGTGACAGCTTGGAGGGGAAAGTCATAATATAATTTATGCACAATTCATTTCATTAAATAACTAGGTGGCTTATGTTTGATGTATGGGCGGAAAGACAGCATATAAATATGTGCATTTATATTGCACCCATTTTTAAATTTTCTGTATGCAGAAGTCTACTACTTCACTATTAAAATTTCCCCCTACTCCTAGCTACTAGGCAGATAATTTGCATGAAAGAAACCTAATGGATTTCTATGTTCTATGGCCATCCTTCTCCTCTATTAGAAAAAAACATAGTGTTCTGTGATAGTAAACTATTCTCATAACTATGTGAACTTATGTGTACACTTAAGATACAGTGATCTTAACCATTCATAAACCACAGTAACTCCAATGGCTTATTTGAAATTAGTTTTTTTCTTCGAACAAACTTTTTAAAAATGTTCTTAAACGCACACTCAGAAAATGAAGATGCATACATCTTACAGAATAATTGCTTTAATACCTTTTAATTTTAGCTTGCTGTAGTTTGTCATAAACATCTGATATGAACCTCTATATATTGGGTTTATCTTATGATAAAGATGGTATAAGGAGCATAATAAACATTTTCTACTGAAAATAAACACATAGTTTTCTGTAAATTCTCTTCCCCTATAATTCTATAATCTTCCAAACAAGTGATAATTATTTTCATCCTTCCTAACCTCAGAGGGAAAATCAGCTTGTCACTCTTGGATACTACTGGACAAAGCACCAATAATCCTTTAGGCCACCAATAAGTCTGTAGGCCATGTGATGATGAAAATCTGAAGTTGTAAAGATATAGAGGCCCACAATTTCATTTTTTGTGTGTGGATGTGATGGCAAAACTGGTTTGCTATTTCTTTTCTGGATTGGACTTTTGGAAGCACATTTCAAAATTATTCTGCTTCTTGCTTTGCACTACACATTAAGAAATACTTAAAATGGTAACAATTTTATTGTTCAAATTTAAGCCTGTCTGTGCTAAGCCAAAATAGAAGAACAATCTTAAGACAGGTATTTTATTTACCCCAAATATGTCCACACCCCTTAGGAAAAGATAAGCAAAATCCTGTGCAGTGACTACCTTATCAACCTAAGGTGAAATCGAAATCCAGCTGAGACCAATCCTGCAGAGTTCCTCCCTCTGGAATAAATGTGGACACATCTCACACATCATATATGTGAGCACATATAAAATTTGCGTCTCCAAACAAACTTGCCAGAAGTTGTATTCCATCAAAGTCAAAGCAAAATCCCATAATTAAGAACTACTGACCAAACTGTACTACCTATAAAATAATCTCTTCCATCTTAATAACAAACATTGTCAACATAGGCACGCCCCAGTCAATATCCAATACAAACAATAACACAGAAATAATGGGAGACAAATGAGATAGGAACAAAGAAGGCTCCATTGAGAAGGCAGGAAACAAAACCGGATGAATATGGAAAGTTGTAACTGAACCGAAATGGAGAAGAAATTAAAGAGAAAGGCCTATTTTGATACTGTAAAAAGGTAAACTAATCACACAATCATCACCTCCTAATCAAAGGCTAAACTTCAAGTCACACCTCGAAGTCTTTCATTTCAGTCTTTATAGTTATTTATTACAAACATGTATATATATATATATATATACCAGCTGTTATAAGACGGGGTAGTTTTCAGAAGCTTCCTCCCTTCCATAACCTGTCAAAGTAAGCCGGTCACTGGGAACCGTGTGGCAAAGAGTCATACTTACAAGTCTTTTATTAGCCTCCTGGAGGAACAGCTAAGACAAGCAAGGCTCTCCAAGTGACCTACAAGGAGAAAAGCAGTCTGGGTAGGCAGGCAGGCAGGCAGGCCAGGAAGAGATTAAGAACCTCCTTATTACACTTGTCCCAGCCTGATATCGAAATAACTTTGTCCACCACACACGATTCAATACTTCAGGAAGAAATAAGGCCACAGTTAAGATCAAGTCCAAGATCCTGTAATGGTTTTTGTTAGAGCTCACACAGCAAGAGGCTACAGGCAGTCCTCGACTTACAAACACAATTGAGCCCAATTTTTTTGTTGCTAAGCGAGACATCTGTTAACTGAATTTTGCCCCATTTTATGACCTTTCTTGCCAGAGTTGTAAAGTGAATCACTGCAGTTGTTAAATTAGTAACAGGACTGTTCAGTGAATCTGACTTCGCTTATCAGGTGGTCATAAATGAGTCAGTTGCCAAGCGCCCAAACTCTGATCACATGACCAGTGCAAGGGTCTTAAAAGTGTGAAAAATGGTCATAAGGTGACTTTTCTGAGTGCCGTTATAACTTTGAACAGTCATTAAACTAACTGTTATAAGTCGAGGACTACCTATATTTAAACTATAGAAATTCATCAGAGCTGAGCTTGATGAATTCTTTTCTTTTAAATCAGATTAACAGAGTTGGAAGGGACCTTGGAGGTCATCTAGTCCAGTGGTCCGCCAACCAGTGGGTCGGGGACCACTGGTGGTCCATGAGAAAATTTTGGTGGTCTGCAGAGAAATCCCCCCCCCCCCAGCAATGAATCCAGGCTGTGCAGGAACACAAGGCTGTGCCTCCCACATGGCCTGTGGGAACACAAGGCTTGTGTCGCTTGCATTATAAACAACACAAGGTAGTGAGGGGAGGGGGCAAAGGGGGGAACTTGCCCCATTCGCCCCACACGCCTGGCCTGGCCACCGGGCTGCTTCTTTCTGCTTCTTCCTTCTTCTGCTTTTGGCTGCACGCAAGGAAAGCAGCCAAGGTCTTTCTTTCTCTCCCCCCAACTCTGCCAGAAATGAGTCTTTGGGACCCTGCAAGGCCTCCTGCTCCAAGAGGCTGCACCAGCAAAGACTCATTCCTGGTGGAGTTTGGGGGAGAGAAAGAAAGACTTCTGCGGCTTCCCTTGCATGGTACCAAAAGTCTCTTTCTCTCTCCCCCTGAGAACGGAGCTGGAGACAGTATCCTGTGAATGATCGATTCCAAATGATCGGAAAATGGGGTGGGGAATTTTCCTGCAGACTTTTTTGGGAGGGGGGATTTTCCCAGGGTCTAAAGTTATGAGTTTGGTGGTCCCTGAGGTCCAAAAGGTTGGCGACCCCTGGACTAGTCCAACCCCCTGCCCAAGCAGGAGACCCTGTCTGCCCGCTTTCTGACAGATGCCAGCCCAGTCAGTCTCTTCTTGAAAGCCTCCAGGGAGGAAGCTCCCACAACTTCTGAAATCCTTTTTTCTGTGCACAAGGACCTCAGGTGTCCGAATCCGTGTCCCCGGAGGGCAGGCAGTGCAGAAAGCAATCCAGGCAGTCCAGGAGGGAGGGATGGGGTCTATGAACCGCAGGGGCCCCAAAGGTGCCTCTCAAAGGGCTAGAAAACCTTTTCCCCCTGAAAAGGAGCATGAAGGGGCCGTGAAGAACAGAAAGGCTGGTCCTTGCCACTCCCTGACATTGAAAGCCCCGAGAAAGGACAAACCATGGTGACAATCCCTGCCCAGGTACGTCTCCTGCCAGGCAAAGAACCTGGGGGACCTCGCCTTGGGAGATGCAATTTATCCCCCCCACCCCCCAACCCTGTGCCTGTCATTCCGGTCCAACTGAGCACTGGCTCTTCCTTTCCCTGGGATATTCCGCATGGACAGGCAGTCCTTGACTTACGACATTTCCTTTAGGGACCATTCAAAGCGAGGACGGCACTGAGAAGAGTGACTTAGGACCCTTTCCCACTCTTACGACCATTGCAGCCCCCCCCCCCCCCCCCCCCCGTGGGTCCCCTGATCAAAACCACAGGCTTTGGGCAACTGCCTCATACTTACAACGGTCGCAGCCTCCTGGGATTACGTGGCAAACTTTGGGCGACCTTTCTGAGCAGCAAAGTTTATGGGGAATCCCTTAACAACCCCGTTGCTAATTTAACTGCAGCGATTTAAAGGAAGGAAAGTCGTAAAGCGGGGCAAACCTCACCGAACAGCCTCCGGTCCCAATTTGCCACATCGTGGTCGTAAGTCGAGGACTGCCTGGGTGTTTGTGTCCGGCCGTTGGGCTGCTGCGGGGGGGGGGGGGGACGACCCGGTCTACCGGCCACCCTCAGCCGCTGCTCGGACGGGCCCCGAGCGACAGTCCGGGCTCCGTCCCGCTCGGGGGAGAGGCGGCGGCGGCGGCGGTGAGCCTCGGCCCACAGGGCCCCGCAGGCCCCGGCAGGCCTGGATATAAGCCTCTCGGGGAGGCACCCGGGGCGTTCCCGGGCAGGGCAGGATTACCTCAGGAGACCCGGGGACATCCCATAATAGCGTCCCTGGAAGGAGGTGCAGAGCGGCCGGGCCCTCCGGGGAAGCAGCGTCGCCTCTCCCGGACGGGACCCTCGGCTGCCAACCCCCACATATCCCCTCACACACAGAGAGAGAGAGAGAGAGAGAAACGCTTCCCCTGTGGAACATCTGCCTGACGGGGATCCGCCCTTCGCCCTTCCCGCCCGAGAGGGCTGCCCTCCTCCTCCTCCTCCTCCCCCGAGCCCTGCCTCCTCACCTGCCGCGGCGGCCTCTCCGCTGCCCGGCCGGGGCAGTCCCGGCGCCCTCCGCGCGCATCGCCTCAGCAGCACGAAGGCCGCCATGCCTGGGCCTGCCAGCCGGTCTGCGCCTGGGCGGGGGCGGAAGTGGGCGCGGGGCACGCCGGGAGGTGGAGTCTTCCGGCGACGGAGGGAGGGCCACGTGCCGCCTCGGAGAACGGGGGTGGGGAGGGAGACGATAAAATAAAAGGAAAGGGCGCCGCTTCCGGGCAGGGCGGGATGCCTCCGGCCGCAAAAGAAGGGATGTCGGAGGCTTTCTAGTCCAGCCCCCTCCTGCTCAAGCAGGAGAGCCGATAAGCGACGGCCCGGTCTCTCTTCCTCCAGTGCTTGGGTGCTGGCTGCTCCGCATATGGGGTGCAGCCATCTGGGCGGGCGCACAACCACACTGGGAGGCTGCACTTCGGTCCCTAAACGAGTGGTTGCAAGCCCAGGACTACCTGCGCCAATATAAACAGAGTAACAAGCTTGGAAGGGGCCTCGGAGGTCTTCTAGTCCAGCCCCCTGCTCCAGCAGGGGACCCTAAAGCGTTTCAGACAGGTGGCTGTCCAGCCTCTTTCTGAAAACCTCCAGTGATGGAGCACCCACAACTTTCTTGCGGCAAGCAGTTCCACTGGTCGATTGTCCTCAATGCCAGGAAAATTCCTCCTTAGTTCTAGGTCGCTTCTTGTCCTGCCTTCAGGTGCCTTGGAGAAAAGGTGAACCCCCTCTTCTCTGTTGGAGCCCCTCAGATACTGGAAGGCTGCCATCCTGTCCCCCTAATCCTTCTAAACATATCCAATTCCTGCAATCACGTTTTAGCCCCCAGGACTTTAATCATTTCAGAATTAGATAAGAATAGAATCCTTTATTGGCCTGGTGTAATTGGACACCCAAGGAATTTGCCTTAGGTGCAAATGCTCCCAGTGTACATAAAAGATATTCATCAAGAATCATCAGGTGCAACACTTAAATGATAGTCATAGGGTACAAATAAGCAATCAAATCAATAGTCAATATTAATCATAAGGATGCAAGCAACCAAGTTACAGTCCTACAGTCACAAGTGGGAGGGGATGGGTGATAAGGAGTGATGAGAAGGTTAACAGTAATAATAGTAATCCTCTTAGTTGCTCTTCTTTGCACTGTTTCCAAAGTCCCAACATCTTTTTTGTAATGTGGGGACCAGAACGGGATGCAGGATTCCTGGGGTGGCCCTCGCTCTCTCCGTCTCTTAAGGCAGCCCAGGATCTGCATCGGGACACGAAGGCAGCCTTAGGCTCAACGGGCCCAGCCCAAAGACCCACCGCAGGCGGTCCTCGGCCTGCAACCCTTTGTTCAGTGACTATTTAAAGTTAGCACAGCATTGAGAAAAGGGGTTTGGGGTCAGTTTTCACACTTAATGGCCGTGGCAGCGTCCCCGTAGTGACACGACCAAAATTCACGTGTCGGGGCAGCTGGCTCGTGTTGATGACAGTCGCAGCATCCGGGCTCACGTGATCCCCTTTTTCAACAGGAAAGCCAGTCAATCTCCCCCCTAAGGCAGAAAATTTTCTTTTTTCTTTCTTCTTTTTTCTTCTGTTGTTATCTACCCAGAGATAACTCAAAAGCTTTGCAATTAATTTAGATGGCCTAGAAAAACTGTAGCCATTTAAAAGAATCTAGGCAGGCCACTGAGACTGTAGGAGGGGAATCCTGATTTTCGTGGTGAGTTTGTACTTTGCACCCTGGGAGAAAGGAAAAAGCGAAGGCATTCCTGGTTCCAAGTCACTACAGGAAAAGAGGCCCCTCTATGCATCTATGAAGCCTCTGGTTCTTAAGCCTCGTAAGAAGCCATGATTTGTTATCTGCTGAGTGAGCTGCAACTGGCTTCAGAAATAATAAATTGTAGCAAACCAACGATTGGTTTTACATAGCACTCAAGACAAACATGCTGATCAAAGCACATACTGACCCAAAAGTGAATTATTTATTTACTTTATTTGCCATGGAAACAAAACTTTGGAGGCTTCAGATAAAATTACAGTTAAGGATTGGATTATGAAAGTCGGAAGCGGAAATAAAGACTCTGATATGGAGACACACAGAAAAAGGGAAGTCCAGGATGAAGGACTAGCCCTCCTTTGGCACAGATGCCTCTCTTCTCCTCCGTGGTATTTTACGTATGCATTCAACCAATTTCTCCGAGGGAGATAATTATTTATCTATTATTTATTTATAATTGTTATTGGCTGCTCATCTTATCCTAGGGCCAGTCTGGGGTGCTTACAGTTACAAAATATCCATCCACATATACCGTAATTAAAACAAACAAACGAACCAAAACCATTAAAGCCCAAGGACACCTGGGGAGGGCAGCTGTGCCCTTACCCCAAAAGAATGGCAGGTTTACTTTTGGAAGCTTGACAACCGACTCACATTTATGAGGGTTGCATGTCCAGGGTCACGTTTTTTGCAACTTTCTGGTAAGGGAAATCCACGGGGAAGCCAGATTCGCTTCCCAAACGGGTTTAAAAGCTGCAGCGATTCAATTTAACGATGTGGCAAGAGAAGTCGTAAAATGGAACAATGCTCACTGGACGAATTTCTCACCCAGCAACAAAAATTTTGGACTCCATTGTGGTCGTAAGCCGAGGCCTACCTGTGCGAAAACTCTGCCCACGGCACCTGGCTTCCAGGCCTGCCCCTCACCTCCCTGCCTGGATCCCCCAGCCAGGATCTCCGCTCAATTGCCTTCTTCCTCTTCTGGGGTTTTATCTGCCCCTCCTGCAGCTTCCCTTTCCATGTCCGTCTGTCTCTTTCTTTCTTTCTGGCCTTTGAAATCGGGTCCCAAGGAGCATCCGTTTTCCTGGGTCTTCCTTCTTCAGGACAACCAGCCCACCCGTGACTGGGGTGGGGTCTTTGCGACCACAACCTTCCAGGAGGAGAACCGGGTGCCCGGAATCCCCCACCCTGGGGAGGCCCTCCCTGCAAAGGGCGGCTGCTGGGACTTGGGTCCGGACCCCCCACAATCGCCTGCAGGGCCTCTGGGGCAGCTGTGGCGGAGCTGAGCAGGGCTGCTTCTGGGGGCCGAGCAGGCCCGGCCAGAGGCTGGGAGGAAGGAGGGGGGTCCCATGCCCGGCGGGGGGGCCCTCCAGGCCGGGCCCTTCCCTCTTCCCTGCCCCCAGGCCAGAAGGCTCTGCAGCAGGAGCGGGGGCGCAGCAGGGGCTTCTCCGGGGCCTTTGTGGTGCAAGAGGCGGCCCTTTGTGCCGGGAGGGGAGGAAGGGGGCTGCCCATGCGGGGCTCCCGCGGGGCCAGAAGCGCTGACCGGGCCGGGGCTGGCGCTGCAGGCGGGACCCCCAGGCAGGCAGCGCTCTTTCCCTGCAGGAGGAGGAGGAGGCGCGGCCCCTTCCAGGCGGAGAAACGGGAGCAGGAGAAGCGGCCCTGCACGCGGGGTGAGCCGGGGGCGGGAGGGAGCCGGGGGGGCACCCGGGGGCCATCGGTCCGGGCTCGGCGGCGGCGGCGGGTTTGAATGGGGCGCGGCGGGTCCGGCGGCGCGAAGGCGGCCCGGCAGCCAATCAACGCGGGGCATTTTTCGCGCTGGTTTCGGCGGGCGAAGAGCAGCGGGAGGAGGAGGAGGAGGAGGAGGCGGGTCCGCGGGGCGGTTGGGCGGCCGGCCGGGGCGGCGGCGGCGGAGAGGCAGCCGGAGCAGCGGCACCCCCAGCCCGGCCCAGCGCCAGGCGGCCCCCCCAGGCGCCCCCCTCCCGCCCGCCCGCCCTCCCGCCCAGGCGGCTCCCCCGGCAGCCAGGTCAGTGCAGGCGCCCCCTCCCTCCCTCCCTTCCCTTCCCGGCGGCGGCGGCGGGGCGCGGGCGGGCGGGCGCTGGGCGGGAAGGCGGGGAGGCTCCGGGGGCGGCGGGGAAGCCATGATGGCTCCGTTCTCCGGGCGATGCGGGGCGAGCGAGGGGACCCAGCCACGTGCAGCGGCTCTTTCTTGGGCGGCCCGGGCGGGCGGGGGGGGCGCAGAGGCGATGCGCGGCAGGCCCGGCGCTCTCCGCCTCTCCCGGGGAAGCGGCTCCCCCGCCGGCCGCCCTTCCTCCATCCCTCGTCCCCTCTGCGGGCGGGCGGGCGGGCGGAGGGTCCCCGGGGCGGCGCGGCTGCTGCGTCCCGGCCGCCCTGCCTGCCTGCCTGCCTTCCCGCGTGGCTCCTTCCCTCCTTCTTCCCCCGCGGGAGGAGGCGGAGGAGGGTCCCTGCCCGCCCGCCTGCCTCCTCCTTCCCCGGGGCGAGACCGAAGCGCGTGTCGTGGGGGGGGGGGGGGGTCGGGCCGGGCGCCCGCCCGGGGGGGCGCGGGGGGGGCGCCGCCGTGTGGGGGGGGCGCGGCCCCGGGGGGGGGGGGGGGGGGGGGGGGCGCCGGACCCGCCTCCCTCCCTGGCCCCCTTGAGGGAAAAGGAGGGGGGAGCAGCCTCGGAAGGGGGGGGCACCGTGGTTGACCCCCCCCTCCCCAGGAAGGCCCTTTCCCCAGGCCCTTCTACGGGCTCGGCCGTCCTGGACCCGTCTCCCTGATCCCGAGGTGGGGCAGCTGGCATCCTTCCGAGGGCCCCTGTGCGGCTGGGATGCGGGACAAGATGGAGTTCCCGGAGGCGGAGGAGGAGACGCAGCTGCTTTCAAGGGGGCCTTCGGAGCCCGCAGCATCCCGTCTTGCTGGGAGCTGGGCGGGGGGGGGGGCGCTGCTTTGGGGACGGGGGAGGGATGGGGCTGGCAGGCCGAAAAAGAGCCTCTGGGGGGGGGGGGGAACCCAAACACCCCCCCCCTTTGGGCACCCCCCCCCCCTTCCAATAAACCTTTCCTTGGAGTAGCTATGACAGCAGGCCCCGGATCCTCCGGGCCCCCTTTTGCAACCCTTTGGATCCCCAGGAGATGCTCAGAACCCCAGTCCGGTTTTGCCCGGTGCTGGACAGACACAAACCTAACCCCTCCCCCCCCTTTCCCTTTGTGAATTCTGCTTTAATGCTTTAACAGGTGTGGAAAAAAACCCCCACCCCAAAGCCCATGCGGTGGTTCCAGCCTTTGTTTATTGAGGGATGTGTCTCCAACCTGTGGCCGGTGGCTTTAAGGGCC